CGGGAGCAGTGCGGGCGGCCCGCTAACGGCCGGGCTATGCGGCCGCCGGGCGTGCGCGGTGCGGGCGTGGCACCGCCGCGGAGGGCGCGGGAGGAGCCGCGGGCGTGGGGCGGCTTTTCTTGGCTTCTGTAATGGTGGCTTATAAAGAATCGCCTTTTCTGGCCGTGCTCCTGCGCGGGTGCCTTCGCGGTTACTGCTGCCCGCCGCTGCCGTCGTCATCACAAACGGCCGTTTTCTCTGGCGGCCGTGGTGGGGGAGAGAGGCCGGGCCGGGGAGGCGCTCTCTTCGGCGCTAAATAAATGAAATTAACTGTAAGTTGAACTTGCGTACGAAGACAAACCCGGGTGCGTTGGCTGGTGTGTAGTTCCCCACTCCGTGTCAAGCGCGGCCCTGTTTGTTGGATGCGCTGGCGTAGCCTTGGCATCCCTTTCTCCACACCCGTAGGCTTCTTGGGCCCCACGCCGTCCCAGGCTGGAACCGGCCGAGGGGCAGAGCCTGTGCTTTGGTACCTCATGGCACGTTATGCTTGGCTGCCTCTGTACCTATTGCTGGTGACATCGTTGCCGTAAGAAACAGTTTTTCGGGTACTCGAACGGTATCTGATCGGACTTCAACAGCAAAAGCAAGACCAGAGTATAGTGGAAATAATGAGGAAATTCAAATAAGAAGAGAAATTACGGCTTCAAGAGATTAGCCAAAGTGCGCAGCCATAAAAGCTGAACGTTGTTGGGGAGAGAGAAACCCCATGAAGAAGAAGAGTAATGGTTGAAGACCTTGCACGGATGCACCTGAGTGTGGGGAGGTGACTGAGTCTCTGCGCACAGCTGCGCAGGACTTGAGCGACTGCCTGAAAGGCAGTGGAGAGGAGGGGGAGCTGGAAAGACGTTTGCTTAGAAAGTGAGGTAGCACTTGATGGAAAGGGAACAAAGGACATTGCTGCTAAAGGAGATGTTTGGGAGCTGCTTCACCAATGCTAAACAGCTGTGGAGGGCTTTTGATAGTCTTTTGGGAGAGCACTGTGGAACTGCACCCCTTGGGGCTTCACGCGCTAGTCTGCACCATGGTTAAAGGAGAGAAACCTGGGACAGCAGTTGATTAAACAGGTGATAGCAAAAACCATGGGTGCTGTGGCTAACTACAAGCAAACAGTAAGTTATAGTTTTGCAGGAGCGGATGGTTAAAATCAGTGAACTTCACTTTCACACCAACTGAAATGCCTAATAGTTAATCTTCTTCCCGAGTTTCTGAACTTGATGCGCTTGTCACATTCCAGGCTCCACAGAGTAAAGAGAAAAAATGTGGTTTGAGGCTATCTGAAAAGTCAAGACAGAGACAATAAATGTCCCTTTTGTTTCTTAGCTGCATGAAGATTATTCTGTTCACTGTTAAGTACTTCTGTGGCCCTTGCATTGTGCTAGAGAGGAGTCTTGGGCTCTTAGGAGATGATTGCTAGTACCAGCCTTGAAGAATGTGTCTGGTATGCATCCCAGTCCCAAATTGCCCCCAGAAGAGTGGGCCACATTAGTTGTCTTGGAGGGCTGCAGATTAAGTTACACCCCCGCTCTCAACATCAGATTCTGACTTTCAGTATTTGAGATATATGTGTATGACTGGGAGACTAAGAAATTGATTTTGTGAAACACTGGATGAATTGTTTCCAGCTTGAAATGCAGCGAAGTTAATAACATACTAACCAGCAGTTCTTCTGGCAGTGAATTCAGAGTTACTGGTCTGAATTATCATAGGGCTGGGTCTCTCATAATAATGAGCCTATCCCTATTGTTCACCAGTTTCATTGTTCCAACACAAGGCAACTGCTGCTAATTGCTTAAGGCTGCTATACTTCCGACAGCAAAAAAGAGGGGGAGGTGAAGGGAGAAGTCTTTTGCAATGGCAGTTTATGGCTGGGAAGAAAGGGGAGAAGAAAAACATCTTAAGTCTACCTCTGAACTTAAAGTCCTGACAGAAGCTATTGAGGCAGTGCCCTGGGGAAATTCCTGCTCTGGAAGTGTCAAATTTTGTCTTCCTTCCCATATTGTCCAGTGTTCCTAAACTGCTCTTACTCTGGACCTTCCTCACCAACCCACTTGTTTCCCCCACCCTGCTTTGAATTCCCAGATCAATTCACCTGGGTCAGTGCTGGCATGCTGGTTATCTGCAGTTGTTCTCTGGTCACTCCAGAGCAGAAAAGTGGGACTTGGTATGGTTATCAGGAATTTTATTTTTCCTAAATATCACAGAGGTAGCCAGTGCCAGTTATCTTTGGTCCTCTTTGCTCTATTAGGTCTTCCTATGGCTTCTTCATTCTTACTTTGTCAAGTGTAACACACATAGTGGGAGCTGGAAGTGGAAGTGAGGGAAAGATATCCACCCTCTTTCTGCACTCTTGGGTCTCACCCTGGCTCCTTTCAACCTGGTACTCTATCAACTAGGAAGTGGGGAGAATGGCAGTAGGAAGTGATGCATAACTGAGAGGGGATGTTGGTGGTTGCTGCCATTCTACTTGTATTGCTGTGTTGGAGATATGCACATGAAGGGGATGGTGGGAAAAGAAATGTAGGAACTGGTGGGAGTAGGTCCTGAGTCATTCACTTCCCCCCTGCCCCCTCTATCCACACACACAGAAGGGGAATGACAGCCAAGGAGATTAGGGACATAAAGGAGTGTTTGAAACCATTGTCACATGTTCTGGGTGGTAAAAGCTTAGCTTACATTATTGTGGTTTTAGTGTGCCTAGTTGTAACTTGTTGGCCCTGTGGCTACCCTCAAAAAATAAACAAAAAAATAAAGTGTTGGGAAAGCAATCCTCTACTGGCAAGGAGAATAGCAGGCTAATACTAGGTAGTCTTTTTTAGTTTTTGGTGTCTTGAAACCTGATGTGCAACCAAGATGATGCTGGTAGCAAGCACAGAAAATGTCCAAAGTCAGTTGGAAGCTTAGTATTAAGCCCAAAAATCGTATCTTAACTCTTAGTGGGAAGCAGAAAGGTGTTGCAAGAGTACTATGCAAGTACCAAGAAGGACTTGAATATCAAGTTCTGTAATTTACCTGTTATGCAGAGGAGTAATTGTTCACAAGGCAAGTGGAGCACAGTGTTATCTCAAGCCATGCACTACTGCATCCTGGAAACGTGCTTAGTTCTAGTTCTATAGTGCATTAGCTCTGGTTTAACTTCACCAGCAGAAACTTGTCTTAGATCTGCCTGGGAAACATCTGGAGATCGCAGCCTTCAACACAAGCTGCGTAGGAGTAAGGGTACCCAGTGGTTGGAGTACTGGTGCATTCTAGCTATCTCAAACTGTACCGTGGCACCCCGAACAACTGTAGTGACTAGGTGGCATAAAGTGGAAATGCTGTGATGTTTTCCTGGCATAGCATGGGGACCAAATTTGACCTCAACTGTTTGGAGTTAATGACTATTGTAACTGTGTAAAGGCAGCCAGAGTCCTCTTTTTAAAGCATATTCAGCCAAAGGTGGACCTTTGGAACAAAAAGCTAACTTATCACAGAGATGGGTGTAGGCACAACAGTATGTCTCCTGCTTATGATTCTTTTCAGCGCCTGTTCCCCAGGTGGGCTTGGCAGCACTGGACTAAGCACCTAAGTTTCCAACACATGACAGAACTAAGTGTCTTATGATGGAATTGACAACAGATAGGCCCAGAGTTCTGTGACGACTAAAGAAAACTTGTATTAGAAACTTGTTAAAAGCTGCTCAGCCAGGCTGCTGGGACCAGTAACAGAACAGGCACTGTTTAAATGGGAATGTTTACCTTGCAGAGAGCCAGTTACCCATATGCCGTGTTGCAATATTGCTGTTGCAGAGCTAGATTTTGTATCCTGTGTGGTTAAATCCCACATACCTCTGATTCAAGATTTCAGACATATTCAGCTTAGGGATTTGCAGCCCAGAACTTTCTGCTGGGCTGGTTGCCCATACTGCAGAAGTAAATAGATGGGTGGCTCACGTGTTTCTCTCCCCTGCCTCAATATGCAGCTGAACTGATGTCCACCTTTTACTTCAAAAACTTAGTCCAAACAGCACACGATTTACTCCAAATTGTGTCAGTTTAAATCTCATTTCTTTGAGAAACACAAGCACTGTATTAAATAGGACGGCATGGAATCTGTGTTCTTCACTTCTTGTCCCACTTTTTGCTCACACTGAATTGACTAATTGCTGTTTCTCACAGCTTATTTGGATTAGAAACATGGCAGGGCAGACATGATGGGCAGACTTGTTCCCAAAGTCATTCTGATGGATTTAAGGCAGGTTGACCACAATGAAGTCGGGATCACTTCAGGAAGAAAGTAATTCAGTCAAAATAAATAATGTAGTATATTGTGAAATACTATCAGCTCTTCACATGCAAATTGTCCAAACTGACTAGATTCAAATGTGTGTGCAGAGTGATATGTCATAAATGTATGTGCCTGCAATAGACCGATTTTCTTCTAGGCTGAAAAGTAAGTTTCATATGCTATTTTTAAAAAGTGGTCTAGTGGGCTAATCTGACCTGAATTTTAGGTAGCACACATAACATGTACCATATGCAAGGTAGAGGTCATGACCTGCAAGATGAGAAAGAAAAACACAATTGGCATAAATTCTAGCCATTGCTAAGGTGGCCAACAGAAGCTCATAAGGTTTGGCGCCGAACATTCACATTCCACACCTCCTTCAAGTACCACTGTACAGGCCTTCTCACTTGAGAATTAAACTAGAAGAGAAGCAAAGGGATATTAACCCCTAGTCAATTCAGGTTATTTACCTGAAGATTTGGACTTCAGTCTAAAACAAAATGTCTAAGAAGCTTTCTTGTCAGCACTGTTTTCCATACTTACTCTTTCATTGTGGAGGTTTTAAAGGAGGACTTCATCTTCTGATGCTTTGACTTGGTAAAAGGCTGTCAACTAATGCAGCCCAAATAGCCCTTTAACCTCTGTGTGGTTACATAAGGTCACACTGGTTTGTACAAACCCCTCCACTTTTACACTACTGTTATGCACTGGCTGTCTTACATAAAAGTGGGGTCTTTAATGAGTGCTTCTACGACAAAGAGTGGAACCATCATTTGCAGGTTATTCTGATGCACAAAGCCTTAGACATAGCAGTACTGAGAAGCATGAAAGCATGATCCATGCAGCCTTTACTTCCCATACTTGCAACTAGATGCCTCAAAAAAGGATCAATTAAAAAAAGTAAATGAGCATCAAGCTGCCCATTTAAAGTTGTGAGGGTACCGGTATGCTTTGAGTCCTAGATGGAGGTAAGAACTTGGTTGTTCTAGTCAGATACTGGAATCTTTTGAAGTAAGATGATTCAGTCCATTTTTTGAAAATGGAGCAGTGTGTACTGTAGATTTAATTTGCCAGCAAAGAATAGGCAGATGAATAGGCAATTACACAGTCATGATATTCTACGTAGGTGTCTGCTTCCTACTTCAGTTTCAAAAGAGATCTTAACACAGAGCATGTGAAAGATTCTGTCCATATCAGAGACAAGCTCTTTCC